AACCTCAAAACAACCAAAGCCTAGGTTAAGACCATTATTGAGAACCTAGTCATTCATTCTAGTGATAGTCTAATTTTTGAGATAGGAAAAAAACAAAAAAAGCACAGGTAAATAGAAAAAATAGCGAAATTAGAAGCAATCAGTTTTCATTGCTGACTTTTTGTAGCCGTGTCGGTTGCTGGCATAAAGCCAACAGTTGCTGTAGACACGTCCAGACACGTAATTTCCCAGCCCTGGTTTTAAGCGACTAACGAAGAGAATTTCTATTTTGGACTTCTTTGAGAGTATTTTCTGCTTTTTTTCTTCAGCTTCGATTCACTTAGCACCCAGTACTTCATAGTAGACACAGATAAGTACCACGTTTTATCCCGGAGTTTGCCTTTACAGGAACAGTAACGGAAAAAATTTTTCAAAATCTGAGCGAGAACTGCCTCCCCACAAGCAACGTAGCAGGCCGCCAAAAGAACGAATGTGTCCGCTTCCACTGCGAACAGTGCTGTGGTGGTTGCTGAGCAGGACCATTGCGCCCTTCCGCCCCATGCGCCGCCCCGCCCACTGGTTTTGTTGATGATCTGGATGGACTGATTGCTGTTGGCTTTTCATTTTGGATGATCTTTTCCCATCTAGCGGCTGTATCTTCCATCTTGCCCATGTTATGCCTTATCAATCGAAACACTATGCTTGTTGGCATGATGGCAGCTATCGGGGTTAACACGTCCGAACAACCTCAGTCTTTACCGTCGCTCATCCATGATCGAAAATGAAAGGGCAATCAAAAGGGGCACTATTTTGCTTATTTTTGACGGATTTCTTTGCTTTTTTCGCCACTGATGTACTATTGAGGAAGCCACCCCTCGTACCTCCAAAACCACATTCTAAACCAACGAAGATCCTTTAGCGTAAAACCCGCTGCCTTTAGCAGATTGAAAGCCAGCACGTTTACAGCGCCATACCGGCGATAATAAAAACCCCGACCCCCTAAACGCATGACCCTAGCGAGCTTCCTATCTTTTCTGCAAGGAAAAATGGCGCCTTTTCCAACCCGAAAAACGACCGACGAAACCGGGATCTGACGATGCAAGAGAGGACGGCAGAATATGCATTTAAAGGCTCCAAAGCCATCTAACGCCCAGCGTAGATTTGCAGGTCCCACCCCCTCCCTTACCCCCCAACCACCTCATTGCGGGTGCTCTGCAGGGGCCTCAAGAAACAAATTTCCCGGACTCGAATAATTGGACCACTGAGGCTGTTTTCATTTGTCAAATGACAGCAGCAAGACATCGACGAGACGGAAACCGCTTCCAAGGAAAATTACTGTAGGCTGCAGCGAAAAAGCTCAAAGCTCTATCAGAGTCCGGGGCGCTATTGCAATATACGGAGGCCTCTTGTAGGACTAAGCCTAGGAAAGGGCAGAGAAAATGGGGAAATGAAAGTTGCTCACACACCCAAAAGTCTCTCTTACCCGACCTAAGGCTTATTCCTCACTCTAACAAGAAGGAGATGTTTTACGCGATTCCAAATGAATTGACATCACAATGCCCCACATCATGCGATAGCGCCTGGTACGGGAGATGACCTCTAAAGGAGCGGGCGGGTCTATTTTCGTGTTTTGACCAAATGTAGCTCTGAATAGGTAAATTTTTTGAACTCGTGCCTATCAGCAGGTGAGGAACCGGTCGCTTTGTACGTGCAGGGTTGGCTATCCCATCTGACGCACGTAAAACTACGAGTTGGTGGAATTGTTAGGAAAAAGTTGGTCCCAAATGCCCCGCAGTTCTACAGGCTGGCACAGCGCAACCGAGCAACAAACCTAGATAACTGGTACATACTTAAATTCAAGAATTGGAAAAAGTGTAAAAGGGCTAGAAGGTCTAGAAGAGCAAGGGGTAACCTCGAGTGCTGAATGGTCCAAAAAGGTAAGGGGT